GGAGGAGGGAAAAGCGGGAATGCCGCATCCCAAATCCCGGATTTCGGCCCGGCGGGGGTCGGGGAGAAGGGCGGGAATCTCACGGGAGCGGTGTAGATTCCCTGGAAAACCTCTCCGAAGAATCCTTCTCCCAGGATGCGGCCCAGGGCGACGGCGTCGCGGGAGATTCCGAAGGGTTGGGCTGCGGGGAGGCGGGAATGGTTATCCCGGGTTTTGTTTTCCCGGGTTTCGTTATCCCGGATTTTATTAATTATCCCGGATTTTATTAATTATCCCGGATTTTGTTATCCTGGATTTATTATCCCGGATTTTGTTATCCCGGATTTTATTAATTATCCCAGATTTTATTATCCTGGGTTTCGTTATCCCGGGTTTCGTTATCCCGGGTTTTTTTAATTATCCCGGATTTTATTAATTATCCCAGATTTTATTAATTAACCCGGATTTTATTATCCCGGATTTTGTTATCCCGGATTTATTATCCCGGATTTTGTTATCCCGGATTTTATTAATTATCCCGGATTTTATTATCCCGGGTTTCGTTATCCCGGATTTATTATCCCGGATTTATTATCCCGGATTTTATTATCCCAGATTTATTATCCCGGATTTTATTAATTATCCCGGATTTTATTAATTATCCCGGATTTTGTTATCCCAGATTTATTATCCCGGATTTTGTTATCCCGGATTTTATTAATTATCCCGGATTTTATTAATTATCCCGGATTTTATTATCCCGGATTTATTATCCCAGATTTATTATCCCAGATTTCTTATCCCAGATTTTATTATCCCAGATTTTATTAATTATCCCAGATTTATTATCCCAGATTTATTATCCCGGATTTTGTTATCCTGGATTTATTATCCCGGATTTTATTATCCCGGATTTTAATATCCCGGATTTTAATATCCCAGATTTTATTATCCCGGATTTATTATCCCAGATTTTATTAATTATCCCGGATTTTATTATCCCGGATTTATTATCCCGGATTTTATTAATTATCCCGGATTTTATTATCCCGGATTTATTATCCCAGATTTTGTTATGTCGGATTTTATTAATTAACCCGGATTTTATTAATTAACCCGGATTTTATTATCCCGGATTTCTTATCCTGGACTTTATTATCCCGGATTTTGTTATCCCAGATTTATTATCCCGGATTTTGTTATCCCGGATTTATTATCCCGGATTTCTTATCCCAGATTTTATTATCCCAGATTTTATTAATTATCCCAGATTTATTATCCCAGATTTATTATCCCAGATTTTATTATCCTGGATTTTGTTATCCCGGATTTGTTATCCCGGATTTTATTAATTATCCCAGATTTTATTAATAAAATCCGACATAACAA